TATAATGCGTGCGTAGTACTGTGTATGTCCAATCTTGCGTCGACAATTCTGAGCAATAAAGGGGAAAAACTCAATAATAACATTGCCTGACGGCGGGTCCGGCTCTAAAAGTTCGTCATCACGCCACACACCATTGCACGTTGGGTTTCTTTCCAATAAGGGACGCCATGTCAGAAATGTTAACACTTCCTTATATGAGATTGCACATGTTCCCAGAAAAACAATTATTATTATCGACGCCCACATGTCTTAAAAGTTTTCGCATTTATTCTGCACTGTATTTATCTTTATGCTAACAACACGAAAGGTTTTCGTTTAAAAAATAAGTCAAATCTTTCTACTCAATGAGATTTTTATCAAATTCAAAGTAGTGTTCTTTGCATGCGTTATTACTTGTGTTAATTAACCGGTTTTATAGCATAAACAATAAGTCTTATCAATATCGTAAAATAAATGTGAAGTACGCTTATTTGTCATCAGTTTGTCATATCATCGTAACACTATTTCTGGATTAGTTATAACCTCAAACGTATCCCTAAATTTAAGAAATCTTACTATTTAGAAGTATCACCACATTTTTGTCGATCTTCCCCGACAAAGTTTTAGACGTCGCAATAGAAGATTTTGTAATGCCTTCTAACACTTCTTTTTTTGTTATTAAATACTTTTTGCATGTTAAAAGCAAATCACACCACCTCCATGCCCACTACAGAAGATATCAAGAGCCTACTGGGACTGAAACTTGTCATACGTCTTCTCTACGGATATTTCCATACAGCTACACAAATGCACACACATGCACACACACTTACGCACACGCACGCACACACGCGCACACACACGCACACACACACGCACACACGCGCGCACACACGCACGCACACACGCGTGCGCGCACACACACGCACACGCGCGCGCACACACACACGCGCGCGCGCACGCGCACACACACACGCACACACATGCACGCAGACACACGCGCGCACACAAACACGCACACTTACATGCACTACTCCACCAGACTTGTCGAAAGACTATTAGGGGGTTAATAATTATTCTTTGATACGGTACCCCGCTTACGGCACCGCCATTACCGCCGACTTGTGCATCCCTGAGAAATCAGAACGCGGGCCTCCCTTCGCCCCGGGCACTGTGCCCTTGAAGGGCGCAAGGATGCTGCGAGCACGTACGTGCTCCGTTTGACAGCCCTGAAATTGAGTAACGATAGGACAAGGAAGAGGAAGGAAAGATCGGGCGCGGGTCGTTTCTTAGGGTACTGCTCCTGCATTCGCCTGGTGTTGATCGGAGAAACCACGGAAAACTACCCATCAGAGCTGTCGCCTGCTAGAATTCTCCTCTGGCAGAAACACTAAATAAAACAGCCATACAAAAAAATGTGTTAGTGTCTGAGAATCAGACTATGTTTTCTAAGTGTTTTGGGGTCGGTAAATACGAATTAGGTGACCATTTTACTCTATCATATCAGGTTTTTGATATAACCTAAAACATAAAAAATTAAAAATATTTCTAAGCGAGGGTTGAGACCGTCTTACCTATATGTTTTTGGGGTCGCTGAAACCGTATCTGAAATCCATTTAACTTGAACACATCACATTTATTGATTCAAATTAATTATAAGTGATAGAGAAGGTAGCACTGGTCATTGACGAGACAACACTCATCACGTTGTTGTATGGCAGATTGCCTCAGCAGTATAGCTCTGAAGAAGGCCACAGCAAGATAGCCGAAACGTCAGTCCAATTAACTGAGACGCGGCTCATCCCGGATAGCCAAGAATACATTGACTCCGGCCGCGGAAGCTTACGAACCCAGATTGTCTGTATCGTTGGCGCCTGATCAATAGCCTCTCCAAGCAGACTCAGGTTGTTTAAATTTTTTGAGGTTATGTGAAAAATCTACTGAAGTTAAATGGTTCGGTTCAGCGGCCCCAAAAACATACAGGTAATATGGTCTAACCCCTCAGTTGAAAATATTTTTAATTTTTAAAAATTCTTTTGATGTTTTGTCGAAAACCTGATGTGATGAAGTCAATTAGACACCCCAAACAAGTAAAAAAAGCTTCGTCTGATTTCCAGACACGATTTTCCCCATACACATAATTTGTGTGCGCGTGTGTATGTGTGTGTATGTGTGTGTGTGGCTGTGTGTGTATGTGTGTGTGTGTGTGTGTGAGTGTATGTGTGTGTGTGGTTGTGGTTGTGTAATCACTAAATCTCCCAAAGGAAGGGCAGTCGCGCGCAAAGCATGGACGCGAGAGTGCTCACGCGTTGTAGGCGAGCTGCTGCGCGTGGTCGGCGATGCCGAAGGTGTCCCTGGCGGCGCCGCCGGGCCCGCCGCCCAGCCCCCACGACGCCAGCTCGTTCTCGTTGTGCTGCGCCGCCGCCAGCATCTCGCTGCGAGACGTGTAGTCGTGCGCCCACGGCGCCGGCGGCCCGCCCCCGCCCCCGCCCCCGTGGTAGCTGGGGCCCGGCGCCGACGCGTAGATGGGCGGGCCCGAGTCCTCCAAGTGGTGGTCGTGGTGGTCGTGGTGGTCGTGGTGGTCGTGGTGCACGTGCACGGGCACCGGCACGTGCACCGGCACGTGGTGGTGGTGGTGCGCGATCTGCGGAGACAAGAAGAATCAAAAATCGAGCGTGAACATTCGGGCATTTATTTGACCTAAAACAAGCAGGCAGAAAGGCATTTATTTTTACTGCAATTGGCAAAAATGCAGTTATTTTGGTAAAAGGGGGGATAAAAGCACAGGAAACATTAAGAAATCAACATTTAAAAGTAAATTAGTATTGGAAGTTAAATAAAAATGATTCCCTTTTTAATTACAAATATACAATTAACATTAGCACTCACGAAGGAAACTACATTTTTTTTGTAATCTTGATTGCACAGGACCATCTGGTATGGCAACTATGAATATAGTTTACTCGCACCGCTGTATCGAGTTTTTTTGTGGACTCCATTTTAAATTTTGAAATGGTATCAGTGAAAACGGAATGGTATATTTCGTTCTTCTCACTTCTATAATCGCCAGAAGGGAATAGAGAACAACAAGGAACTGAAAAGGGTGCTTCACGTACAGACAGCTCTGTCCTCAAAATGGATCCGAGGCCATAGACAAACATTGGATGCGATTTCCCGTGAATGAATAAGTAAGAATCAACGAAATATTTAAAAAATATTCACGGGTATCACCTTTTCCCTGTTAGATTTTTAACACAGCCAGACTCTAGAGCCTCCGCGTGCACAGAAAGACAAGACAATACACGCCCGCGCTTTAATATTGACAAGCTTGATAGAGACTGATACCAGAAGGGGAAATGCAAAATAATGACAAAAAAGGCACAAGTAAGGTAAAATGACAGAAATGTCATCAGAAGCTAAAGTAGAAAAAAAGGCAAAATTAAAATCTACTAAAACTACTCCAGAAGTACAATTAAGTGATTCCTATTCTTAAAACTTATCTAATCATGAAAATAATAAAATAGGCATTCTGCCAAACTTCCGGGCTCTAGTGATCACCTTTCGTTGAATTTATTGTTTATGCAAACTTCAAAGTGTAGCGCACAGGGAATTTTATGAAACTGCGTGAAAAACATCAAATTGAAAAGTATTTGTTGAAATGTAAAACGATTTTAAATTGTAAATTTGTGACACATTTAACTAGGATTGTTGTATAATATATAGAGTATTTTAACGCTATTACATGAGATGGTTCCGAATACAAACTTCTACGGATTCAGTAGGTCAAAGATTGAACGAGTATGTTTGCCCGTAAGAATGTCGTAAGACATCTAATGTAATAATATTTTACATGTGACATTTGTCCTTCATTGGCAGGTAACTTATCATGTTTTGGTATTTTTCAGGCCCCCCCAAAATATATCAGTACTTCATCATTACATAACCTACCAAACTTCTGTTCAATGAGTGGCCTAACAGTAATGAGAAAATATCACTGTGTAACATCGTTGTATGGAATTCGATCATCTGAATTTTCCTCAATGTCAATTGAGGGGAAATGAAGATAACTCAGATGAATTCCCTCATTACAGTCAAAGTTTAAAACATTTATTTTGTATATTAGTTTCTTATATGGTCGGTTAAATTATTTCAGTAATATTCATCCTTTGTTATTTACGGTCGCATCATCGTCTAGGTCATTAGCGACTCCTATTGCGTGTAACGGTATGATAACTCTGAGGATGACACGATATAATGATGATAGGAGATGAAAGGACGAACACAATAGAACCATGCCCGAGGCGGGACTCTAACCCGCGATCCTTCAGCGCTACGGCACTACTGCCTTAGCAATCTCGGTCACCGGGTTGGCAATATTCATCCTTCCCAGAAGTATTTTAATTAAAAGAAGAAAATCAATTCAAACAAAAATATTGGTAACAGCTGCATTAGGCGCTATTGGTGATAATCTCTTCAGACACGAGGATTGCTGCTTGAGAGAGCGTAAATACATTTTCGTCAGGCGTGAGAAAACTCAATTGCGAGCTCATGACAGACGAGCGGAGTGAGGGTGCGTACGTCATGAGCATGGGGAGAGCGAATTGGACCTCGTTAAAAAAGTTCTCACAAAGCGAAGACACTTTTAACGAGACCTCCCTTCATCGGCGAACACATAACAGAGTTCTGTTTGGTAGCATAGACAATAATGGACCTGATGTCTAATTTACTTACGCACACGCTGACAGCAAAATACGACTCCAGAGGCGTATTTGAGACACTCGTGTGATTTTGAATGAAATTTGTTATTTAAATCAGGTTATACAGTATATAACGCGTGAATATAAGACCCCAATTAGCCCAGAAATTAAATCTGAAATTGGAATATACGTGAAGGAACTTCTCATTACTGATGACTAGATTATAATAATAAAAATATAATATAAATACTATGCTAGAAGTGTTTAGCAGTTAAACTAAACTTGCAGAGGATGTTATTTAGAAATTCCAATGTTTTGAGATTCAATCAATGTAAGTTTTTTTGCATAAAACCAAATATTCCGGGGTGCATGAACCATGTAATTAACTCAGAGGTCATAAATGCAGATATAACTTATTTTCAAATGATAGTTACCCTTATCTTCTACAATTTGATTCATAAAATACGTAAATCATTGTTCTAAAGAAGATAAATTTATAAATAAGCACAGAGTTGTTTTTCCTAGAAAAAAGTACTATATATTCAGACAGGAGTTCTCTCAACGTTTCGAAACAACGGAGCAGACACGCGACACTAAGTGAATGCGGAAGAGATCAAAAAGCCGAAAAAATCGGTGGATTCTAGTAAGTTAAATTAGGTCATGGACCTACCCATGAAATGTAGAAGAGCAGAAGACATGTGTGTGAAGCTGACACTTTGCGATGGTGTAAATTAGTAAGGAATAACATTTCCAAAAAACTAAACCCTCAGATAAAAAAATTGAAGACATCTTCATTGCTGAAGTTATTGAAGGATGAATTCATTGTTGAAGTCATCGAAGTTGACTTTGACATAAAATATATTTTTTTCTGATGTTCAGGACAACAGCACTTCACCGGGATTCTGCATAGCTTTGTGGGATGATTATTTATTTAGGCTGTTGCTGAATTCATCTGAATGAATTACAGATGTACAGTATAGAAAACTAGCTTCACTCTCCGTTAGTCTGGCGAGGTTTCACAAATCCAAAAGTTTATGCTTAGACGAATTGCGTTATGGTTTGGTGACTCTAGGCCTTCTGATTCCGTTTACTGCTGTTACACTCTACAGTCAATAAAAAGACTCAATTCACAATCATTGTAAATAATCACAACAGTAAAGAAATAATTTCGTTTTTAATATTGGGTGACACAAACAATACCATTATACCAATGACATATCTCAGAATGTACTTTGATTAAAGACGGAGCATATTTTATCTGTATATGAAGATTGTGATAGTAAGTTTGACGATTCAAGACTATGAAACTTCTGATAATATTAAAATGCACTGCAAATTCATACATTTATATTGCAGTAGTAGTGAACCTGCTAATTTTCATTAACTTTACTCTGAGTTCCAAGAACAGATTTTTTGAATGTAATGTAAAAGAAGATAAAAGTTTATCAAATTTTTAGTTTGTTTCGTATACTTGATAGTCTAATATTGTATATAAAGATATAGGATTTTTTTTTAAATTGGTAACTACATTTCATTTATAAATCCATTTTTGAATCTCACAAACCTCATCAGACTATGACATAATAATTACATTACAAGGTAATGCAGGGTTAAGGGCGAGACTACATAACAAAGTCTCTCTCTCTTACTCTCTCTCTCTCTCTCTCTCTCTCTCTCTCTCTCTCTCTCTTTCTTTCTCCGACCTCCAAGAAAGAGTGTCTAGATCTGGCTTCTTGGGACAAAGCATCAGTCAACTCATTGAATGGTGTTTAATAAGTGTGTTCAATTTTACTCTAAGAGTATCAACTGTCACCGATATCTGACGCGTGGCGAGATGATGATAAATGACGAAAGTAAAGTTGTTTGGTGGCAGCAGATGGGTGTGGCAGAGACACAACTGTCCATTTCTATATCAGCGTATGCGGAGTAAACGTTGCTTTCCTATGTAGTTCACTCATAGCTCAACATTTACGGCCAAAATGAATATTGCAAAGAAATTACATCAGATTTTGCGTCCATCTTCCATTCCTTGAGGATGTGAGCAGGCAAATGGTGGTGGTGGTGGCCAATCTGCGAGAAAAAAGGAAAAAAGTTTTGATAATTGGCCTAGCTTGAAGAAAGGCAAGGTAGACAAGACCTACTCATTGAAGAAAAATACTAGAAAAATATTTTGGAACTGAATAGAAAAATATTTAGGAATTGAATAGAAAATATTTACGGAGAATATACGAAGATCATTCCAGAAGCTATGGCAAAATTTATATTATTCAAGAGAACAGACACGTCATTTGTTCAGAATATAAGTTGGAATATAGTATGTTTTAAACTACAGGAGATGCAAGTCAGCAAGTGTCCTTCGTGTGCACTTGTCAGTAGTTGACAGCAATCGCAGAGGATTAGATTGAGAGATTAGTTCATGTTTCCGTGCGCCACCCCAGACATTAGTCCTGTATGTGTAGTGGACGTTCTATCTTGGAATGTGGTTGTGTTCCTCCGAGATGGAAGTGAGATTCAGCGCTGGCCAACACGTCGGTTTGCAGTTTGTGGTGTTTCACTCTCCGGGTATCTCCGCAAGAGCGTTGTCGCCTCAGGACAAGCTGTAAGCTCCGATTGGTGTCCCTATGTGTGTGTTTTGTGCGTGTGTTTTTTGTGTTGCGTGAATGCTGTGCGTGAATGCTGTGCGTGAATGCTGTGTGTGAATACTGTGTGTGAATGTTGTGTGTGTTTTGTGTATGTTGTGTGTGTTTTGTGTATGTTGTGTGTGTTTTGTGTATGTTGTGTGTTTTTGTGTATTGTTTTGTGTGTGTGTTTTGTGGTATGTTGTGTGTGTTTGGTATGTTTGTGTGTGTGTTTTGTGTATGCTGTGTGTGTGTTTTGTGTATGCTGTGTGTGTGTTTTGTGTATGTTGTGTGTTTTGTGCATCTTCTGTGGGCGTGTTGTGTGAACG